TATGAACCAGATATAATGGAGGAACTAGATTTGTACGCTTGGGCCTCTGTGAATCATGAGGGAGACTTTGAACCAGAGATAATGGAGAAACTAGGTTTGTACGCTTGGGCCTCTATGAATCATGAGGGAGACTTTGAACCAGAGATAATGGAGAAACTAGGTTTGTACGCTTGGGCCTCTGTGAATCATGAGGGAGACTTTGAACCAGAGATAATGGAGGAACTAGATTTGTACACTGGAGCCTCTATGAATCATGAGGGAGACTTTGAACCCTGCAGCTAAGCTTGGGTACATTTGCTAGTTCTTGTAAAGCATAATGACATTATTCCATTATCTCTAGTTCAAAGTCTCCCTCATGATTCATAGAGGCCCCAGCGTACAAATCTAGTTCTCCATTATCTCTGGTTCAAAGTGGAACTAGATTTGTATGCTTGGGCCTCTATGAATCATGAGGGAGACTTTGAACCAGATATAATGGAGGAACTAGATTTGTACGCTGAGCCTCTGTGAATCATGAGGGAGACTTTGAACCAGAGGCGTACAAATCTAGTTCCTCCATTATTTGGGCCTCTGTGAATCATGAGGGAGACTTTGAACCAGAGATAATGGAGGAACTAGATTTGTACACTGGAGCCTCTATGAATCATGAGGGAGACTTTGAACCCTGCAGCTAAGCTTGGGTACATTTGCTAGTTCTTGTAAAGCATAATGACATTATGTGGGATCATTTATAAAACCTGGTTTTAGGATAGAACTAACCAAAATAAATTATTAGGCTTTTAGTGTCTTGCTAATGAGCAAATTAATTGACAGGGAACACCAGATTTTTGATACCATGATTTGACAGATTAAATAAATTAACATGGTTAAGCATTTTTCTTTTAATTGTGGTTTTCACTTGCCAACCACTCAAGACAGGCCAACAGTCTGTAAATCTTTTTTTTTCTTTCTTTTAACAGCATACTTTTTGGGAGCATCTTAATTAAAATTTACAACTTTCAGAACTTGTTTGGTCCTCCTTTTGTGCATCTTTTACAAAATACCCAACAAACATTACCTTCTAAGAAATTACTCACTCAACTTGTGTAACCACAGTTCTCACTAGTACTAGAAAAAGATAATTTAATTGCTTTCAATTAAATTTTAATAAAGTATTAATTCTGAAAAAAAATACCATGCTACAAAAAAAACTTAGAAAAATCAAGAGGTCAAACTTGTCTCTATGTGACAGTTGTTTTTCCCCTCTTTCTTTTTTGTGTTTTAAACACATGTAAACTTTGTACTACTGACAAACCAGAACACAAAAACACAGGGCAATTAGTGGAATTTATAACAGATTGATTTTCAGGCTCATTAATCAATCACATTCAATTAATCAATTCTTACAAGACTTGAATTGTTGGAATAAACAAAAATAGTAATAAACAGAAACACTAATTTCAGTTGATTTGGTTTGAATTATGATATAAATTGATTAAGATTAACAAGCTTGAATTAACTGAAAATAATAATGAGAAATCATTATGGCAGTAATTTAATTCCTTGAAGGGTTGACATAATCAAAAACATTGACTTTGATTATTTGATTATTTTCATGACATTAATTGACTTAATCATTATTTCTGATACAGTGATTAGTTTATGTGACACTAGTCAATGTAATCTATACTCATAGCTAATTGAGTTAATTGCCCAGCTCTGCATGCCACACAGGTTAATTAATGGTATAAATTTCAATTCCATGGCATTCATTTAACTCTATTTAAATATTTACCAGTTATCAATAATCGTTAAGTTTTAAAATTAAACCAATATCTTTTAATGTGTTAGCTGTAGTAAATCAATTTTGCGTACTCATGGAAAAGTCTGTGTATTTTATACAGAATGTAATATATTTCTTTCACAGTTATTCACATACAGAAATTTTGCTTTCCATAGGAATTGAGACTTGTGTTTCCCAATGCCCAGAGAATTAATAGGGGTAATTATGAAATGAAACAGTTAATATCTGCCTGTCGTGCAAATGATGTCACAGATTTCATTGTTACCCATGAAACAAGAGGAGAACCAGGTAATTAAAAAACATTTAAATTGAAAATCAGTATTTTATTCTCATAATTCATTTCTACTAAAATATGTATGTATGAAATTTCTTAAGATTTCTTGTAAAAACTAAATTTATTTATGTATTGTAAAAGCTAAGAATTGTTATACCAAAATAGGTAGCAGAAATAATTGGTACATCTTTGATACTTGCAAGTTAGTTATAATTATATAAGGTTTAGGAACACTATATTTTGTTTAAACTTTTATTTTTAAAAAAAAAAGTTGTAAATTTGATACTGATTTTTTTATCTAAATAAAACAATAAGTTTGTATCTTTTAGCTTTCGGGAAGCAGTGTTGACAATTATGTTTAAATATTTTGAAATTTTTTTCTAATTACAAAAAAGCATATTTTTCATTTAATCTTATGTGCATGGGTGGGTGTTAAATTGTGAGTGCTTTGACCTTTTACAGAATGCCATACAGCATGATATTATGTATTTGATGTCAGAGTTATCAACTATTGATTTTACCCTACATTCCTGATTTAGTGATAGTTTGTGTTAGAGGAAAGTTACAACCAGATACAACATACAGTCATACTGAAAAAAACTGTAGATTTGCATTTCAGAGGTTTAGAGGTTATGCAAATGAAACATGCAAACCTTACAATGGACAAAAGTATTATTACTCTTCAAATGAACATTACTTTGAACTCCATATTTTCAGAGTCTGAGTCAGACTGATTTCGTTAGTTCAAAGACATGTTGAGTGCAAATACTTTTTTTAACATATTTAATTTTTTAGACTTGTTTTTGTTAAATGGAAAATATTATTTATAAAACATCAAAAAAATCTGAAATTTAAATCAATATAGTTAAAAAGTGTACCCAAAATCTTCTGTAAACAAAGGATTTCTTTCACCAGTTGGTAAAAAAATATGTGTAAAAACATTTTAAACAGAAAACCAAACACTGGAAGGTGTAACAGGAAAAAAATATAATGTTTCTTTAAGAGACAATAAATACTGATTTTTTTTTTTTTTTCTACAACTTGTATGTAAGACCAGTAACCTCTGAAACATTTTGGGTACAGTTCATACTGTGTAGAACTTAATGACTAGTCAGTTTTAGGGAAGTTTTTATGTACTCTAAGAATGTATATACTCCAGTAATGCAATTATAGAATAATGCTTAAGAACACACAAGGTATTTTTTGGAACATAGTAATCACACTTCTTTGCTCTAACAAAGTGCCTTTGTTGAAGTGGTGTGTTGTTAGTGTAAAGGATAATATTCAGATTACAGGTATATCTCAATGTAATGGAGCTAGAAGATTTCTTTTTTGCCTTATTTATTATAATTTAAGAGATTATGACAGTTACGACTACTGGTGTATGAATATTGCATATTTCCATTTAATCTCACATAAATCATAAAGTGAATGAACAATATTTTTCATTTCTGTAGATGGAATAATAATCTCTCATCTTCCTTATGGACCAACAGCATACTTTACCCTATTAAACACTGTTATGAGACATGACATCCCTGACATTGGAACTATGTCTGAAGCATACCCACACCTTATTTTCCACAATTTCAAGTCTCGGTTGGGAAAAAGAGTATGTTAATCAAAACTTCATTTTTTTTTGTTTGTTAAGGATTTGTATTAACCTTGCACTCGACAATGGTAAGCCTTCTTTCAAGTGTCAAGTGCATACCTACATATAAACTTTCAAAACTTAAGAAAAATAATAATTCTAATTCTGTTTCAACAGTTTTTTTTATACTCAAAAGTATTTTGTCTTTAATGTTTTGTCATCTATTTAGTGTAAATTTGCAAAGAAAAATTTTAAAAATGTTCAAATTGCCTGGCTTCAAGGAGTCGACACACTTGTAGATTTAAAAAAAATTTCTGCCTATCACAAACCATTCATTTATTTAAATGTATTAAGAAACTATCATTCTTTGTGAATACAGTTAACCAAGTCTTGTTTCCCTCATGAATATTCTTTCCTGTCTTAAGATTTATTATTATGGGCTTATATTCACACCATATAGTTGTAAAAGGACAGAAACGAGTACTATAGAAAAACATCTTTGAAAATAACTACACTCAATGTTTATATACCATTAGATAGAGCATGCTATAAAGTATTTTTCTATAAGTAAAGTGAATCAAGTTGTTTGAGAAATAATTTATGATTAAATGCAACAACAGAATTCAGTTTGAAGTTTAGAAGACGTAGGAACAAATCACAGATTAGGGATATATTTCATAGTTTCTTTATATGTTATTTTCATTCCTGAAAATGTTTTTGTGTTCAGTTATCTTTGTTTGAAAATTATGTCAATTTTTTTTCTCTCTCTCTCTCACTAAGAGATGACATCGGGTAATCCTTATTGAGTTTGGAGAAACTCTGGTAGTGATGGTATAATATTCAAATAATTCTTTATTAAATAATTATTTTAACTTTACCATATCAAAACAATGTACATGAATAAAATAACTTATAATTTTTTGAAAATAAAGTATATTTATATTAGATATAGATTTATTTCAAACAAATATCTTGTAAGCATAAATGTTACCTAGACTGATCTGACACCATTTTGAAAAGTCAAGTTTTAGATCAACAGTAAATTTTGTCAGTTATGCAGTGTTGGTTACAGTTTATCGGTTGAAATGGTGACTAGTGCAATCGGCAAAATAAAGTTTGTAAAGAAATATATTAATGAAAATCAAGCAAGTTGAAATTGAATAAATAAAATGGAAGTTTTAAGTTTTTTCTACATGTAGCGCTTTCTTGAAGATGACTCTTTGAACTTGTAGCTTGTTTGCTTCTTAAAATATTTTTTTTAACAAACTTTCACATTTTTAAAATGTTTTCATTCTGTTGTTCTGTGCAAGTCACTTAAATGTAGTTACAGGGAAAGAAGTGTCAAAAGAATTTTCCTCTAAAAAATTTGCTTTATTACATTAGTATGTTTTTAATTTGCTGTTTCAAATATTCAAAGTGGTTATTTGAACCTTTTTCTTTTAAGCTAATGAATATACTAAAGTACCTGTTTCCGGTTCCTAAGGATGATTCTCGAAGAGTTATCACCTTTGCAAATCAGGACGACTATGTTTCATTTAGGTAATTGTACCATAAAGCTAATATTTTCTTTGAATTTGACATCCTTTTGATGATGTGTTTTACATCTTGCTATATGCTGAACTGATTTTCCTTCCTAGTTAATCTTACATTCACAAAATGATTAAACTAAATTAGTTCTAGAGCCATTGGTGGCTTGTACTTGCTAGAAGTCTTGCTTAATAGTATATATATATATATGTCCATCAAGACCAGGCTCCATCCACTGCTGTTCATAATCAAATTTATACCTTTCTGGAAGGAGTCTTTGGTCAGTTTTAATTGTTGGTGGCCATATCAAATCAATCGGAAGGGTCTTTCCCATACGTTCTTGATAATAGAAAGATATCAAACCAGGTTAAAGATAGTTTTGCTTAATCTGTGGTTGCTACTTTTAGTGGAGGTGTAGTTTACTGAATGAAAAGGCTCTATTTCTCTTCTTTTGGTAGGTTCTAAACAATAAGGATTAAAAAAACTATACATTTTTAACTTCCATAACAACTGCAGATTTTAGCTTTGAAACTAGTAAAATTATTCATTCTGATCAGACATTTAAATTTTCATCAAATGGATATCTTTATTATTCACAGTTGTGTAGTAGATCTAGACTTTTTTTCATTGATCAAATGTGTCTTTTAAAATAAGAATGTCTAGAAATGTGTAAAAAGTTCCAGTTTTAAAACTAAATCCATTTTATTTGTAATAGTGAATTACTAGTTACTGAGTACTACAAATATTCTAACTTATATTCAGTCCATTGTATGAGGATTTCAAGAAGTTTAATATTTTTGGAGGTTAAAAATAATGATATGTGATCATTTTAAATTTACTGTAACTAGGATTTTTAGAGTTCTTGTGGTTATGAAGAAGCATAATGGCCATTCTGAAGTTACCTTAACTCTGGTTTTGAGAGTTTTAGTACTTATGAAGAAGCATATATTTTTGACATCTGTTTCTATGTGACAAGGTTGCTGTCAGTTTTGGATAAATAATGAAGATTTCAAGTCACTGAAATACAGGTTTAGAGAACTTGTCATTATTTTCAAATTTAAGATCCTCAGTAATCAAGTATGCTGTGGTTATCAGATGTAGGGAAAATCTGGAACACTGTGAACTAAATTTTCCTTTTTATAAGAACTGCTATTTAATTTTATCTATAAATTATTTTTCTTCCCCAATTTTTGTTCACAAATAAGGACCCTTATCCTTATAGTTCACTGAGTTCTTCTACTTTTTAGCTTGTTTTTTTAATAGTGGGTTGATTTGACAGTAAAAATTGTTGCTGTGTTAGCTGATAAGAACACTGTCTTTACATAAGCTCTTACATATTGATGAACCATGACAGTCATTTTAAGGTGAATGACCTTTATACTCTTAAGTGATACAAACATTTTTGTTTTATAAAAGTATGTGTGTACCTGTAATCGAAGATTACTTTGAAAAGTATGTAACTCTTTATTGTTTTGTTTTTTAAACATAGAAGACCATGGAATTAATTTACTATTTTCCTTATCTCAGATGGTTGAGCTTGATCCGGTGGTTAGTACACTTGATTGTGGAGTTAAGGTTCCATGGTTTATGTCCTGCTACACACTTTGGAAACATAGATGCATTATAATAGTGATGGTCAAATCCCCTTGTTTGGTCTGACAAGAGTAGCTAAATTATAAGGGTTGGGAACTTTGACTAGCTGTTTTCATTTTAGTCTGTCACTTCAAAATTAGGTGTGGCTAGCACAGATAGCCCTCGTGTAGCTTTGTGGAAAACCCAACAAACAAACAAACAAACTTTATCTCAAATTCCGTCTCTTTTCACTTATGATAGATATGCATCAGTTTTTTGTTTGTTTTTGCTTGTCTTGTGAAGAAAAAAACCCCCATAAATTACAGTATTTTAATGCTAACTTTGTTGTAGTACTTTCTGTAAATGAAGGAATGTTTTCATTTATAAATGTTATTTCTTTCACTTTGACATGTATACATATTTTTGTTCACATTACTACAAATTTTCACTTACTGTTATAGTTCTTCATTGAGAAAATTTGAAACCGAGTTACTGATTAAATGTGAATATTTTAAACTTTTTCAGACATCATTTGTACAAGAAAGTGGAAGGAAATATAGAACTGCAAGAAATTGGGCCAAGGTTTGAAATGAAACGTAAATATCTTTTTCTTATGGTTGTTTGCTTTAAAGATGTTGGATAATTTCTCAGATTAGCTTTAGGACCATATAGCTCTAACTGTCTGTCCTTAGAAGAACATAAAAGATAAAAGCTTTGACTAGAAGTGCCCGGTCAGCTTGACCACAAGTTCTAGTAGCCTACTGTAAAACAACCAATGATAAGTTTAATATACATATATAAACTTACTTATTAGTTATTTATTATTTTATGGAAAATGATAACTTGCTGTTACCTAAATAAATTTTTAACATGTTATGATTTATGGCTGCTTGAATCTGACTAATGTTATGTTGACATTCTTTTCTGCTGATGGGTTGACAATTTGTTTCACATGAGTCCAATGGCTTAGAATAAGAAAAAGCAGGTAGTAGCATTCAGTAACAGTAATAGAAATTAGCTAAAGTCCTGTGTTTTCAAACATTAAAAAAAAAGTTGTTTTACAAATAATTAAGATTTGCTTTGAGAAATATTTTTGTATCACAACTGATGCATTCACCACTAACAGGAAGTAAGTTACTGTTGTGAACTGAATGAAAAGTACAGTTTTTGTAAATATATGACATCGTAGTATATAAATGAACTTTGAACAAACTTCAATTTATGATAGCTTGTTATCATAACCCAGAAAATATTAAAGGTACTTAAAAATCTTAAGAATCAAACCCAAGTGTACAGAAGTGATACATAAATGGGTTTTTTAAGAGTTCCACTAAATTTTATGAAGGATTTGAAAATATACTAACTGAAACTGGATTTAATGATTAAAATGCAATAACATTTTTTACTTAGAGCATTATTTTGTTAATGTAACATGGGTTGGAGGGTGCACCTCAGAAGAAACTTGCAAGTAGATTAGATCTACTGTACACCACACCATTTTTTACTCAGCACAGTTAGAGCTGTGATACTATATCTACTGTACACCACACCATTTTACTCAGCACAGTTAGAGCTGTGATACTATCCAAGAAGTAGGCCTTATTAATGTGGTATAATTACTGTTTGCAAGTAATAAGTAATTACTTTTTGTATGTGTGGAAAATTTAAGTTTCCACTGGCAGATACCTTAATATCGCTTGTCTCAATAGTATACAAATCTTTTCAAGAATTATACTTAGATTAAATATGCATAAAAACTATCAATATTCTGATCCACGAAAACAGTTGTTTTTATGAAACTCTCTTTTTTTTTAGAAAAAAAATTCTGATATTTAGTATAGTATTCTCACCCTGAGTTCTAGAATATTTTCCATGTTCTATGCATGCAAGTAGTAATAAGCATAACAATGTAACATCTACTTTAATAATACCAATTTATACAAAACAAACCATATCTTCGAAATTAAATTGGCTACTTAGTTTTATTTGTCTTTAGTTCAAAATGTGTAATTAATTTACATAAATTTTTTATGCCTAACTTTGTTTTCAAAGATATTTGTTTTATACATGAATAAACATTAGTTTCACTTAAACTTTTTTGTAAAATGACATCTCCTACCTTTCTAAATTGTTATAATTTGTATTTGCTAAAGTATGACTCAGCCATGGTTAATACCCTATGTAGTGTATTGATTGGTAGTTTGTCCATTTGCAAGTGTTTTATGATTTAAATTTAAAAGAAAGGAAACAGCAGTGTGTCCACCAAGAGTAGAAGAAACCAGTTAAAGGCTCTAACACAAAGTAATGTATTCTTCAAATACCTATAGAATGATAGGTTTATTTTTTGTGAGTGTAAAACACTTAAATACACCAGTTCGAAAGTAATGTATGTTCTAAATTTTGCAGGTAGTACTTCAATGGCTGTCAACTGCTATTTCTAACAGCATGAGTTTGTTTGAGGTATCTCATAAACTTTTTGTAGGTTGATCATGTTTTGTAACATCCAATGTTCAATGAATTCTCAAAGGATTGCTCTCAACAATTTAGTGAATAATAGGAACTTCTGTCATGATATAATGACTGCCATCTTTGCATTGTTGTTGCAACTGATGTGTTCTTGCCATTTTCACAGTCTGCAGCATTCAGTTGTATTTTTTATTTTACACCCATCTTCTTCTTCTATAGCTTTTCCCGTATCTATACGGGGTCGCTATTTTTGACAGCGCGTTTCCACTCTCCTCGGTCTTCATATTCGTCCCCAACAAGGCCTTTCTCTCTAATATCTCCATCCACGCAATCCTTCCATCTTCTCCTTGGTCTTCCTCTCTTCCTTTTCCCCTCCACCTCCATATCCAAAACCCTCTTGCCTATATAATCATCTTCCCTCCTCATCATGTGCCCATACCACTGCAAT